TTTGTTTTTTTGTCATCTTCTTTATCTGAAAATGGTAATATTCGCGTTCCATATCAACGCATTTTTTTTCTTTTTCTTCTTCTGCCTTCCCTTCGCTTCTTTGCTCTGAATTTACTTCTTTTCATGCCGCACGCACTCATCACTTTGTTGTTTCATTTGAAAAGCTTTTAACAACTTTATAATTATGTTTATTTATTTGTTCATTTCATTGGTTTTAAAGTTTTATTTACTACTCACTAATTGATCTGTTGACTGTTCGCCATTGGCAATGTCATTGTAAATTATTTTTTGCTAATTTTAGTTTAACTAAATGAATATTTATATACATACATAGGTACCCAAATAAATTTTAACCAAGCCATTATTTCATCAATGCAATACAGGAATAGACAAACTCTGGGTTGCATTGGTGAAAAATACATGGCCGGTGCGGAGGGTAAAGGCATTGTAGAACATGAAATGGCCTTCGAACTTCAACACTTGCCGGACTTTTGAATTGACCGAAATATTTTTATTGGAAAAAGAAAAATATAAGGAATGTGCGATATTCCCAAAAACGACGAAAGATTTAATGGCTTATTTAGAAAACTTTTTATTTATGATACTTTTTAAAGAAAATGTTAAATTATAAATAAGGGAGGTAGTTATTTCCTGATACCAAATAAGTTATTTTTAGTTTTTAGTACATTCTGATCACAAATGTAGCTATAATCTAGTTTTTTATAAAAAGGATATATAGGAGGTAGTCATGTGCTTGCACTAAACAAAACAAAATTTACCACAGAGCCTAAGCATATAATTTCACTTACAGCTACCAGTTTTCGCTTTATTGTGTTTATAATTGTTGCTAAAATTAAACTTTTAAAATTAAGGATGTATACGAGATAGCCATGTCCTTGCACCGAACAAAACGAAATTTGCCACAGAGCTTAAGAACATAATTTCACGGACAGGTAGCTGAGCAATTTTCGCTTTATTCTGCTTATAAAAGTAGCTAAAATTAGGGATGTACTGGAAGTAGGCATATCCTTGCACCGATATTGCCGAAACTTCTAATTTTTCTTAATTTACATATTCTGAAGTGGCAAACCAAATTTAATTTTTCTTCATAACTCCGCTAATTTTTCCGATTCACTGTATAACTACATACACATACAAAGAAAGGGAAAGGTCAAGATCAGTGAAGTAAAATGATTCCCCGATAACAGAAAACTATCGTAAACTGTATTAGTATATCGGTGTGAATTCAGTGATATTTCTATCGATTTTATTTTTTCCCTTCAAATAATTTTATTATATTATTAAATTCAAATACAGCGTCGCTTTTTTAGCACATCAAGATTTATTTTTATTGATTCAATGCACATTTTAGAATTTTTAATAATTTTCATGAAAAGCCAAAAATAAATAGCTTAAAATTATAGTTTTTCTTAAAAA